CACCCCTCACTCCCAGAGTAGGTCATCTAGTAATTTTGTTGTCAGAAGAGGGTCGCAGTGCAATGCTGTTTGAGAACCACGGGGATTAGGGATAAAGAACAGCCTGAAAAGTGCAAAACAACATTTCAGATGTCACAGATCTATCACTTGAGAAATCAAGGAGGCATTCAGATGATGCCATGTGCAGTCACAGGAGGGCTGTGTCTAGACTGGCCAGTTTTTCCGGAAAATCAGCCACTTTTCCGGAAAAACTTACCAGCTGTCTACACTGGCCGCTTGAATTTTCGCAAAAGCACTGACTTCCTACTGTAAGAAATCAGTGCTTCTTGCGGAAATACTATTCTGCTCCTATTCAGGCAAAAGTCCCTTTTGCGCAAAAGGGCCAGTGTAGACAGCTGAGATTTGTTTTGCAAAAAAGCGCGTCTAGATTGGCATGGACACTTTTCCGCAAAAAGTGCTTTTGTGGAAAAGCATCCGTGCCAATCTAGACACTATGTTCCGAAAATGCTTTTAACGGAAAACTTTTCCGTTAAAAGCATTTCCGGAAAATCATGCCAATCTAGACACAGCCAAGGAGTTTGTCTACAGAGAGCTTTGTTTGGCAGAGAAGTTCTAATAATAGTAATCACAAATATTAAGAATGGAATCACCAAAAATGATGTCACAGGCAGCTCCAGAACATTTTTGGTAAAAGTTTTCTCAAAGTTGGCAGAATTCCTGAAAGCAAGATATTGAAAAGTTACATCTTTCTCATACACAATCAGATAAATTCATCTTGATTGCAGCTCTGCTTATTTCACTGCAGTCATTGCCAGGATATATTGATTTGAGCAAACCTATCAGTGGAAAATAATTATGCTTCTTGTATCTCTGGTCTAATGCAATTTTAAAGTTATATTTTAAGACAGAGCAGGGAAAGCATGCAGAATGGTTAAAAACAGGCACTAAAGACTAGAGGTGTGTCTAGACTACAGGGTTTTTTTCGAAAAAAATAGCCTTTTTTTCAAAAAAAACTTCACCTGTGTCTAAACTGCAGCCGTGTTCTTTTGAAAGTAAATCAAAAGAATGCAGGAGTTTTTTCGAGCGTGGTAAACCTCATTTTACGAGGAATAACACCTTTTTTCGAAAGTACTCTTTCAAAAAAAGGTGCTATTGAATGCACACTGTGCATTTTTGAAAGAGAGAGTGTAGAGTCTCTTTTGCAAAATCTGCTTGTAGTCTAGATGCTCTCTTTCGAAAGAGGTTTGTAGTCTAGATGTAGCCTAAGGGACTAGTGTTATGCTTCAAGAAGCATATTGAGTCACATCTTCTAATGTGAACACTAAGATCAAGGGTAGATTGAAACCAGGATAAAAGCATTTTGAATCTTGGGGACTTCCTTTTATTTTAATATGCCAATAGTTTGGTTCTTATTAGCTGTAGGCTTAATTAAAATGTATTAGCCGTTCACAAATTTTCTTCTTGGCTGTAACACAAATTACTCTGGGCCAGACCTGTAAGGATATTTGGGCTCCTGGCTTCCACTGAAATTAATGAACATTAGGGAGCCTAGATACTTTTCAGGACCTGGGCTTCTGTGTTTTGGACAATTGTAAGGCCCTTGGAGGGCCAGAAGAGGAAACATCTTGCATGCATACAGTGCATCTGTTTAAGTAGCGCGTGCCATTTCTGAAACCATAGATCTGCCATTATACTAAATACAGTGTTTGCACACACCACGGAGTATCTGTTTTACTTTACAGTATCCTATTAACATTTTCTCCAAAGTAATAAAATTGAAACATTTTGAAATAATCTGGTGTGTATGCAATTAAATCAACAAATTCAAAATTCTGACCAGGAAATAGTTGGAATACCTAGTCAGTTCTCAAGATTTCCTATAATGAAAATCCACATCTTACATTACAAACTAATACTTCAGTTATGTAATTCTCAGCTTTCATTTAAGATAGAGGGTTTATTTCATGGGAAGTGGGTGATGGCCCAGCTGGGGAAGGCAAGATGAAGCCACACCCCTTCCCCCAGACTATGTGCCTTGAACAGCCTTCTCTGGCCATCGGGGAGCTGCATGGTGTGGCCCCAGCCTTTCCCAGGTGGCTGGGCAGTGCAGACAGTTTAGGGAAGGCAATGCTTTCCCTTGACTACGTTACTTGCCACCCATGGTTTTTTTCTTGACAATTATGAAAGTTAAGTCATTGCTACTGTGGATGTAATAAACATCAGAGTATGGTAAATATGAGCTGAGTGTTAGAGAATTTAGGGAATGGCCCCAAAATGCTCTACATGTTCTGTTGCTTTTTATAATATGTATTTTTATTTTTCTGGTGTACGGCCATGCTAACAGAGCCCTTACAGTTGTTTTATCCTATAAAATGAAATACTGGTCTTGTAATTTGAATAGGTTTGCTGGAATTTTAAATTATTTTAGATTTATATAACATCAACACCACAAAAAAAGTAATTAAAAAAATCTTTATATGTAAAATGTGGAGAAGCTACATTTCCTGAGCTGAGATGCTAGGTTTTCCTCTCATTAGTAAAACTCGTGTTGTGTGGAGTGGAAGAATGAGAGATGCAGAAGTTTCACTAACGTATGTATCCAGTTTAAGGTGAATTTTTGTTGATCAATATTTTTGAAGTTGCACTATTCATTAAACTGTTTTTGATTTATTTGTAAACCTTTAGAATAGGTGTTTATAATGAAAAAGATGAATACCCTCACAAACATAATGCTTTGTTACTATGAAGAAAGGAATGTGATGCAGTGAGTCAAGTGATTATTGCCCAGTAAATAGTTTGGGGTACATTGAGGAACTAGTTAAGGAATTTAGTTTCACAAGAGAAGCCACTGGAGTCAAGGGACGATGTTCTCTGTCACATGACAGCATCTGGAAAATAAAGATTAACCTTTAGTAATTTATCCATGTCATGAAACTGGAGCTAAAAAATACAGATCCATTGCTTCATAGTATTATACCTTTATTCCAAGTCTATGGGAGCAATACAATACAATGTACCAAAGACAGCGGCAGAGATGTAAGGAAATGAATTTTTGTTGTGCTTTAAGTTTTGTTTTATTAATAGCCTATAGGAACCCTAGTCATGGACCAGGGCCCAAGAACAGAATGAAATGTTTGCCCCTTAGAACTTACAATGCAAGTCCAAAGGCATAGCCTTTGCTCTGTTTGGTTCATTTAAGAAAATACAGCTATAAAGACAGTAACCTGCCTTTGACCAACAATTAACATATGATGTAATATAGCAACTAAGATATCTGAGACCTTTACAGTCTCTCACCTGAGTTCTCTTAATACCCCCAGCTAAGGAAAACAAATGGGACTTGCTGTGTGTCCTGCAGATCACCACATTAAGACAACTTTAGATTTGCAGGCAGGAGAGTGAAATTAACCCACACCAAAGAATAAGTATTATTCCCTCCAGGCAAAATTCCTTGTTGAAGGCAGGACACTGTTGTTTCAGCAGTGGGCAGTTGTATTCATTGGGATTCTTTATCATGGATTGTGGAGCTGCACCCTGTCATTTCTTCCCAAGAAGCAGAACATGGAGGAAGGGCAGTGATGAATTTCAGGCATATTGAAGTCAATAGCAAAGTTTCCACTGACTTCAGCAGGGCCAATATTTCAACCTAGATTTATAGTTACAAGGATCTGAGAGCACAAAAGCTCATAATCTACCTGTGTCCCCATCTGAGTTAATGCAAAAATAGTCACAACCTATTAACATGGATTGCAAGCTCGTTAGGATCACAGTTGTCATTTCTTGTATGTTTGTATAACGTCTGGTACAATGGAGCCCCAATTTGGTTGAGTTTTGGGGAAGCTACTACTGTATAGGTGTTTAATAATTTCCATTTTTGTTTACAGCAGCCTTGTTTCATGCTATCTTTGGCAAAGTATTAAAAACAGAGCATGTCCACCGACAGTGTCAGAGCGTACAATGCCATAACTGCATTTAGCGTTTATGTATGTGTTTGTTTATATAAAAATTGGTAAAAATGGATTATTTACAGTGTTGTAGCTACATTGGTCCCAGGAGATGAGAGACAAGATAGGTGAGGTAATATCTTTTATGGGACCAACTACTGCTTGTGGAAGTGTTAAGTATATGTCATTTAAATTGAAGTGGCAACTGAAGGTTTGATTGTTATGCATAAGGCGTTTTCATAGGCTGCAGGTGACCATTTAAGAGGAAGTAGGCAATTAAGAGTTAGCAGGCTGTGCAGTGGGTTTCAAACTGATAATTTAAGAGGAAGTAGGCAATTAAGAGTTAGTAGGCTGTGCAGTGGGTTTCAAACTGATGTAATGAGCCATAAAACCAATGTCCCTGTTAATTCCACGTGGTGTGTATGTGTGTGTCTGTTTCTCTGTCTAGTGGGAGTATGACATTTAAGTGCCAAGGTTTGCCTTTTTGAAGGTATTTGGCAGGCTTCCTTTGAGGACATGTATTGAAAGATCAGACATAATGTGATTACAAACAATTTGTCAGGAGAAAATTGGTTTCATGCCAAGAGTGTTGTGATACAATTATATAAAGAGTTGTAAGTTTCTAGCAAGAGACATTTCTTCAGGTTTTCATGGAGAAAATTGTGTCCTCAGGTTAAACAGCAATTTTTTAGCACTTGTTTACATTTGGACATTTTCACAGACACACAAAAATATTCATTGTCTGGTTTATGCATAGGATAATTTGCAAGAGAACGTGATTTTTCACAAATTTAATAGTGATGCCCTTTTGGATGTGCAAATTGCAGTTTCTGAGGCAACTAGCTTTTGAGAACTAGATAGCTAAGGCCAATTTATACATCCAAGTAAATGGTCTGTATGCTGGCAAATGTTATGAAGATTAAAGGGATGAAATACTCTCTCACTAGCTCCCCTCTCCTCTTGTGAAGCATTAGCTAAGCTACCATAACATTGTCTATATGAATTGTTCCATTCCCAGCGCTAGCTCCAAGTTGTATAGAAGAAGCCCCAATAGAATGTTGCAACATATTCTGGGTGAAATCCTGGCCCCACTGAAGTTAGTGGTAAAATCTGCAAGGTCTTCAGTAAAGTTGGAGTTTCAGACACCCTGGATAGGACCCTGCATTCAGTGCTCATGGAGGGTAAGGAGAAGCATGTCTATGCTGTTTCTTTGACTTTGCATTCAGCTCTTTAGCATTTGCCCTCATGGTTTTCAACAGTCAAAGATTTCTAGCACTTTTTTCAAGTGAAGCCAAGTCAGAGCTTTTCAAAAAGGTGAACAAAATAGTCCATTGAGAATGCATCAGTCAGAGGCCAGAGTGAGTGTAATTTAATTTTGTGATCCTGGCTCAAAATTCACATGATTGACATGTTAAATGAACTGGAACAAACGTGCTTGAAATAAATTTCACCTTGACCTGATTTCCACCTGACTGAATTTGTTGTAGTAAACTGGTGACACATAGTGGATAAATAGTAACATATGTCTGTATTTGAAAACGGAGAACAGATGGTAACATACCGATATAAAACCTATTATACGAGAGCATTCTGCATTATTCAGAGGGGTCAAATCCTCTGAAAGCTGAAACAAGTTTGAGAAGGGAAAGGAATTCACTGAAGGGAAGCTAGAGAGGAGTCAAGTAAGCTAGCTGATGTTGTTATGACTACCTGCAATTTAAAGAACTGTAAACAAACTGGGTATCCTGTACATCTGCTTCTCTTTTTAAACCACCCCTGAGTGTGTGATTGTTTTTAGCAGTATTGTCTCTAAAAGGACTGTTGCCAGAAATGACATCCTCACCTCATTGGTTTGTTGATTCTGTGTCATCATTCCTTGAAAGCGTTGCTGATGGTCTAACAACTGTTTTTTTCTGGCATGGAGCATTTATGGGCCTAACTAAAATGCCCCTTAGTCTTATTGGGCCATGGATTACCCCATTTGACTCATTTGACCTATCTGCTTCATTGGTTAAACAGCATCCTACTGGCTTGCTGTTGGTACTGAACACAGTGCCATAGAGGACTGGAAAGGTGTCTGTCTAGTTTTCTGTGGAAGAACATCACTTCAACCTTTGATTAGTATAAGGGAAGGCAAAATTGTAAAAGAGAGCAAATTGTAGCTGATGGAGAGGGAGGGCTCATTAACCAAGGAAATAAATAAACAAAAATAAAGTAGCTATGTTGAAAGGACCTTCTGGGGGTATAATGTGCAATTTTCTCAGTTAAAGTATAGATTTATCTTGTAGCAGAGTTCAAAAAGAGCTGATTCAGAAATGTACCAAAATACCACTGAAAAGTGAGACAAAAAAAAAGCAATCTAGCAGAAAATGTGCATTTTCACAAAATATAAGGAGTTTAGTTTTTAAACCCATTCAGTGATTCTCTTATTAAAATGTGAAGCACGATATAACAGTCATTTTCATTTAAAGCCAAGTCCTACAGTTAAAAGTATACCTGGAAAAAGTTTTGTTCACGAACCATGTTTTTTCAATCAGTTCTTGGCAGCAGGGTTCAAATTTTAAATTGAAGTTGCTCCATTTAAGGACCCCCAGAAAACAGAAATGGAGTGAAAAATGAGGTGCTGAAGTCAGGCATGTTGAGTGCTCAGCACATATCTGTTTTCAAGAATTAACCATGCCAAAGTCATTTCACTTGTGACTTATTTAACAGCTGTCTGCAATTGGAGATCTGAATTTACTCTCTTATCAGAACTTTTCTCTGGGGGCTACTCATTCTCTTAAAAAAATGGATCCAAGTCAAAAGCTTTTTCATATCACGTGGGACTGTTTATTGAAGATGGGGATTTTGATGCAGCGGAGAACACGTCTCCCTGCACCAGTGACTGGGGGCCAAAATCTGCTTAGTTACGGAGATATAACCAATGTGGAAAAAACCTTCTAAAGAAAACCGAGTCCCAGTCATGCCCTCAGGGAGAGGGGTGGCTTGTGGAGGAGATTCAGAGGAGAAAATGACATTCTGGTTCTGGTATTCTTTCCAAGTCATATCACAGCTATGGATCCTGCAAACAGGTGGATCCCTCTGCCTCTGCATTGACTTTGATAGTCAGTGGGCCTTCCCCCACTAAGTCCTTAGCTGTAGTTGCTCTTTGGACCCCTGGAAGAGGCTACTGGGGACTCCTGCAAATTATAGTAGCTCCAGATTGTAGTACCTGTGCAGGAAATGTCTGCAGAGATGGCGGAGGGAGGTCCTGATGTGTGATTCATCCAAGTACCTTCTTGACATGCTCTCTCCTCCTTCTCACCTGCCCACTTATTACACCTGCTCCTGTGCAGATTCTGTCATACAGGGTCCTGTACAGTCAGGATAATGGAGAGAGAAATTTCACTTCTAGAAGATTCCCCTAGTATGTGGGTAAAGGGATTACCAGTGCCATGCCTATAAAATGGTGTTTTTGCCCCAAATTCCCCTTTCAGTTCCCCCATCATTTGTCCAATTTGTCCATTACATTTTCCACTGTGCTTTTTCTTTTTTCAAATATTGTGTCCTGGCCAAAATTGAGTTTATTTTCAATGGGAGACAGATTGTAAATGATTGTGTAGTGTTGCTGTGGTTTATTATACAGCGGCTACATTCTGTTCCCACGGTGTCTATCTTTCAGTGATGGGTTAGATTATTTATTTTGTATAAAGAGAGTAGAATGATAATTCTCAAATAATATATCCAGTTAAGATTGTGATAGTTTCTCTCCTCCTTCCACAGGCTTGTGGAACTGGGTGAATAAATTGCAACTATATGAACTGAAGAATTCAATCAAAAACCCCTCATTTTTTCATGATTTTGTACAATTCATGACAGTCAGTGGAAAGACTCCTGTGACTTCAATGGCAAACAAATCAGGTCCCTGTATTATGCATTTGAGAGAGTTTGTGTGTCTGCCTGCCCATCCATCCATCTGTGAGTCTGTCCAAGAACTCCTCCTAAACGGTAAGAGCTAGGACCACCAAATTTGATATGCAGCTCCCTCTCATAATAACTTAAAGCAAGGTAAAGGATTGATTGTGCCAGGACAATGGAACACACATGGAATGTGCTCAGCCCCTGCTCCTCCAGCCTTGTCCACAGCAATAGCTGGTGGCTGGGAAGCACGGTCCCCATCACTCCAAGCCGGCCTTTGGGAGCTGCCACTGGCTGGGCAGCATGGCCTCTGCAATCCTGGACTGGACCTGGAGAGCATCCAGATGGTAGTGTAGACATAGTCCTGGTAGTGTAGACGTAGCCATAATGAATCCCACCCCCTGCCCATCTGTGAAATGCAGCACTGGGAGGACATGCAGTAATAAGTGGTATGTCAGAACAATGGTGTGCTATCTATTCCGGTGTCACAAACAATGCTTCAGAGGAAAATTAAAAAGAGAAAAAGGAAAAACCAGGCTCCAGATTCCAAAAAATGGATAAAGAACATCTGGAATACCTCTGAAAGCAAGGTACAGGAAGGACCTTAAATCACCAATGTATTCTGATCCAGGGCTTACCTGCACTTAGGAATTTAGAGCAGCCTAAACTGCTCTGCATAACACCACCTGCTTGTGGTTGCAAGTGACTGTCTTAGTAGTTTGAGGACTACTGGACTGAGAGATGATGTAGCCTCCTTGGACCATGTTGGGCTCTGTGAGACTGGGGTGGGAGCTCTGTTGGTAGCTGGACATTACCACAAGCTCTTCCTACAAGTAAGAGGTCCTCTGGTGCTAGGTAAGGCAAACTTGGAGTAGTGAAGTGGCCAGCACAACTGAGGAAGTGGTAAGTTTATACTTTCAAGCATATGAATTCCTGTCATTTTAGGTTAATCTCAGTAAATACTGCTGTTAATGATATAAGATGTACCTTATTTATATGTAGTATAAAAGAATGAAGATGTTGTACACGAAAGCCATATTTTCCTTATGCATTAATCTGTTACCCAGTGATGTATCTGAAGGAAACACAAAGCAGATAGCAAATTTAGACACAGGGCCAAAAGCTCAGCTCATGAAGACTGGTATCGCTTCATTCATGCTAATAAGACTGTACCAGTTTACAGCAGATGGAGATCTGGCCCAGATGTCTCCAGTACAGAGCTGTAGCCACAGGGAACTTCAAGAAAGAGCTCTGGATGGTAACTCAGCCCCTCTGCACCTCTTACCAACTAAAGCGTGGTGCAGTGGTGCAAAATTTACTGCCGTTTAATTCCTGTGTAACATGTACCTATATCAGTAAAGGGCTGAGTACAGGGAACAACTTCAATAACCCTTCCAGCGCCCCACTCACCACCACTTCCTCAAGGTCCTTGATACATGTCAGTGTATTCCTAGCCTGGTAGACCTAATTCTAAAAAGCATTAGACTTCCAAGCCTCAGTGAACATCATTGTTTGTTGAGTATTTGTCTCAATTAAATCCCTTTGAAAATCTCAATCACCAGTCTCATCTTCCCTTTCTTGCTGCGTAGTAGAGACAAATGCATTCTAAGACAGACTGGAACAATTCTATTCAGGTTCTTAGCCGCATCGTTCTAGTGTCTGAGCATCATCTAGCATTTCTTCTCTCTTTTCGCCATCTTTCTCTCCAAGGGCAAAATTATTGGAAGGATTAAAAAAAAACCCTTTGGCTACATCTACACTGGCACCCTTTTCCGGAAATACTTAAAATGGAACAGTTTTCTGTTATAAGTATTTCCAGAAAAAGCGCGTCTACATTGTCAGGATGCTTTTCTGGAAAAGCACTTTTTCCGTAAAAGCGTCTGTGCCAATATAGACGCACTTTTCTGAAAAAAAGCCCCGATCGTCATTTTCGCAATCGGGGCTTTTTTGCGGAAAACACTACTGTGCAGTCTACACTGGCCCTTTTCCGGAACACTTTTCCGGAAAAGGACTTTTGCCCAAACAGGAACAGCATAGTTTTTCTGGAAAAACACTGAAAATTTTACATTAGATCGTCAGTGCTTTTCCGGAAATTCAAGGGGCCAGTGTAGACAGCTGGCAAATTATTCCGGAAAAGTGGCTGATTTGTAGACACAGCCTTTGTGTTTATTTTAAGTTTGCTGTGCTCTGTGTGTGTGTATGGAAGGACAAGTCAACAAAAAGCACCTTACACTTGAAATGGAAAGTGGGGAGATTGGAAGTAGTACATAGAACTTGTAGGAATTAATTTCACAGCCTGCAACTGCCTCCCTCCCTCGCTTGCACAGACAAACCACATCTGCTTGATCACCAGTGCATTACATATAAGCTGGGGTAGAAGAGCACATGGAAAACCTGATATTTAAACAACAAACCAAAACACAAGGGCTGTGTCTAGACTGCATCCCTTTTCCGTAAAAGGGATGCAAATTAGACACATCGCAATTGCAAATGAAGCAGGAAGTTAAATCCCCCCCACTTCATTTGCATGAACATGACTGCCGCTTTTTTCTGGCTCGGGGCTTTGCCGGAAAAAAGCACCAGTCTAGACGGGGATCTTTCGGAAAATAAAGCCTTTTCCGAAAAATCCCTTATAAGAGGAATAAGCCTTGGGAGGATAATTCCTTTGAAATGGGGACAGCTGTCATGGATTCAACCCCTCCAAGTTCAAAAGTCAGATGAGCATTGGTGGTAAATAACCCAGGATGCACACACAGGCATGGCAGTACAGACAAATCCAAACTCAGGAAAGTAGATGTGGCCTTGATCTCTACTCTCTATACTCATCCATCCAAGGTCATTATTTGTTTCTGTAAAGTGAACTTGACAGTGTATAGAGTAATACTTCTAAGTCTTCCTCTGCTATTTATCAGTGCATTGGAGTAATGGGACATCACACAATGTCCAGGGCAGTAACAGAATTGGAGAACATTTCCAAGACATTGTGCACTATGGATTTTAGAAGACCAGTAGCCATTTGTATTGCATAGGAATGCAAAGATAGGAAATGCAGAAAGAGGTCTCCCACAAGAATTTACGTCAAACTTTGGATGGAGTAGCTCTTAACGTTTAGTTGATAGGGGGCTCAGGTTTGAGAATTCTGGGTCTCATTTTACCAAGATTCATGACCAGGATCTCAATACACAGCCCTCAAACCAAAGTGTGTCTATCTGAGAACAAGCAAAACAAAACTTCGCTAACGCTGACCAACAGAATAAATAATAATAGAACACAGCATCCATAATAAAGCTTGACAGAAGAGTTGGCAGCATTGTTTGAGCCACAGTTTTAAGAAAACTGAAACCATACAATAGTTGTAGACATTGATTTATGGGAGTACGTGCTTTTCAACAGACTGCTTTTCCCTAACTCAATGTTTATGTCGCAAACCTCAGGAAAAACAGCCTTCATGTTCAAATAATGTGACCATATAAAAAGAAATTAAGATGATGTGGATATTACTGCTTTAGAACACCACCATTGCAGCCATATTGCATAAGAAATTGTAGAAATAAGAGTGGTGATTTGAGGGCATGACAATAGAAGAATAATTGTACATACTTTGAATTAGCCACATTGAAAGCAATGCCTTTCCACTAGCGAACACAGGAGATATGCACTTTGAATGCAAAAGCTCGTTTGGTTAGTTTTCATAGGGGATATATCTCCATTTGAGGTTTTAACATTTATAATTTACTGTACGAATAATACCTCAGTATGAAATGTTAAGGTATTTTCTTACAAAGTCAGGAATTTTTATATAAATATACACTTTCTTCTTCTGATGATACCCTGCATACATGATTATGTATAAGTGTTTATGAGGTGTTTGACCTATACATAACTGGATGCAAAAAATATGCAGTGGCCTTCACACAGAATGGACTGCAATGAATTTACTACTATAGGTTGAACATCTCTAGTCCAGAACTCTCTGGTCCAGAAATATCTGTCATCCGGAATGATTTTAGTTAGCCGTATGTACACTTTTCATGGGTGTGGCTAAGTTTCCCACAGTCCCATAAAGTTTGATTATGGCCACCAGTTGTAGTTCTCAGTGTTCTGTGCTGTTATTTAGCTCTAATTTCCCCTAAATGTCCTCTGACAGCCCAATAAGCTGTTAGAAATGCTGCTAGACAATATTGATCTCCTGTGGTCCAGAAAATTCTCTGGTTCAGAACCAGTCAGATCATGAGGGTACCGGACTAGGGAAGTTCAACCTGTATTCTAAATTATCTCTCTTGTTGTAGATTTAAAATATGCCCTAGATATTTAATGCACCTGCTTTGAAAAAGTCTAAATTCCACAGCTTTCACGAGAATTAATGAGTATTAATCTTGAATTTTCCTCTGCCATGGGATCTATGCTCCTATGTATTTGGAGGCATATATGGATCTGATTTTCCATTCCTTGCATAACCAAATTTTTCCTGAATCACCAGGGTCTTGATTCTGTTCTATACCCGAGCTCCATTTATGGAATACTAAGTGGGTTTAGTGGACTCTAGAATCCAGCCCAGGGAATTCTGGATCTAGACCTGTAATTGTAAAGTGGTGGTGTTCTGACTGGTTCACAAGGGTTGTCTACTATGATTCCAATAAAGTTTGGTAATTTAGGGCCAACTGCTGTAGCCAGGTGTCAAGTATACCATTTCAGTCATTTCCTCTGACAAATTCAGTACCTCTGAATACTATTATGAGTTCTTACCACTTCATTGACTGTTTTATTTTGTGTAACATTATTTGGAAAATCATAATAAAAATGTAATAAGTAAATATAGAGTGACACCAAAGTAGTTTTGACTGAGGCTTTATGTCCATGCTCACCAGGGGAGCCCAGTGTAAGAAAAGAGAAAAAATAAAAACCTAGGATTTAAAGTTATTAGGACAAATTTGGGAAAGATTTATTACAACATTATATAAAAGCCTAAAAATCATGTCTGCAGGAAATTAGTCATGCATTCCAAGAACCTTTTAATGTGGAAATCCGGGACTTGCTCTTTGGTCTATTCTATGGCAATACAATGTCAGAGAAACTTTCCATCTTGTCTT